CGGTTGACTCCTATTCTAATCCATAAACTCCCCTTGCTATTATCCGAGACTTGGAATCACTCTCGCGTACTCTCCTCATTCATCCAAGATCCGGTTCAAAGGATTAAATTAATTTTGGGAAATAGTAATCGGCACCGCCCAAACAACCTAGCCCCAGTCAAATCCTAGTTTTATACCCAACACAAACCCATCATTTGACCGGGCTAATTAGCACCATACCTTCGTTCTCCGTGATCTCATCGACCCATGAAGACGTAGAAGCTCATGCTTTGACAATTCCTAGAAGAAGATGATTGTCCCACAATGTTTGGATCACATTATTTTACAGTAAATCCGGTATGAAACTGTAACATCGCATTCGCTCATCTCAAGCGTGCCGACCGATCGTTATAGGCAAGTACGCGAATTCGCGACACGTGATACAAGAAAGTCGTTAGATGTCGGACTATAAATAATATATAAGTTCGCGCCGGTGATAAACATTTACCAAATACCAACATCGCCTCGTTAAACAAACATATAGGTTATGAAATAAACAACCAGTGGAGATTAGATCCGACAGCGATGCTTGCGAGCATCTGAGCCTTATGTTCATTCCCTTGTGAATTTGGAGAGAAGCTCCAGCCACGGTGATCTAGATTTCCACAGTTTCGCGTTGGAGTATTAGGCAAGCCTAGTGTCACGGGGGCGTTGTTGTCCGCAACCATCATTGTCGGACCGTGTCAACATTATGTAGTCAAATCCCGCGTTAATTATGTCTGATTAGAGCGCAAGTGATCGAGTCGTATGTATTGTATTGGTTTTTTTTTTATACAATCAATCAATGAGTCTCGGGTATTACTTTTCGTATGTCGGAAGTCAACGTATGCGGCTGAATAAGAAATTACTTTGCCCCGTGGGGATCTCATCATTAACTAACCCCGTAGGACCACTAACTCCAGGATTAAGCAGTCTGGGTGGTGTAATTACGATTGTGTTTGTTGTTATTGTTAGGTGAGAGATCATTTGTACTTTTGTTCCATGGTTATTTCTGTTTGCATGTATTTTCATCCGAATTCTATTTCTTGAAGAAGTGAAGGTTACTTCAGATCAATTGGATACGTGCCATTATAGTTTGAAATGATTTTTTCCTACTATCTGTACGATGTGCTCATCGTACTTTGAAGCATAGGGAGAGAATAGGAATCCATTTACATTGTTGTCGAAGTTAATTGCACTAATTATTGGACACGTTGGCTTTGCTTACAAGCTCGTGGTTTCTCGAAAACATCTTCTACTCAACTCCGCCACTAGAATGAAACGTAAATCAATGGCTAACGACGAGTGTTAATCTTGTTAAGCGTAAATCAACGGATGGTGAGCGTTTTGGACTATCTCAAGGACCGAATTGATGTCTCCCGGGACAATTATTCAGAAAATCCTAAACTTATTGTACGGCAACTATTCAATTCCAAATCATTTAACAAATTAGTCCTAGAATCCTTTAACGATTTGCAAATCGTCGACGTGGCGGTCCAATTCATGCCGACCATTTTATATGGCATGATCAATAAATGGCCGGTGCTGATGTGGACAATTTTCGTAATTTCTTTCTTTCTTTTTTTTTCTTTTCTTTTTCCTTTTTCCCTCCACCCGCCATCTCTGGCCTCAGGCAAGATGCCTGCACCTGGGCTGGCGAGGGTAGCTCTCGCCTGGGCTAGCAACGACCACCCTTGCTAGTCTTAAGTGAGGGTCGCTCTCGCCTGGGCAGACGATGACCACCCTCACTTGGACTGGTGAGGGTGAGGGTTGCCCTCACCAATCTTGGGAAGGGATGCCATACGATAGGTTCTGGATTTTTGGGACAATTTTTCCATATCTCTCTATCTTCTTCTTTACCTAGTAAGATGCAATAGCCCCAATTCTGTCCTCTTCTTTGCCTTGTAACTAAGAAGATGTTGAACATGTAGCGTATAATTCTATGTGATGTGTAGTAGCCTTGTCTAGGTGCCAAAATGATATTATCCAATTGGGTCACTGCTCCTTTTAGAGCTCATCATGCTAGTTTAAGATTTTCGAGAAACTTATCTATCGACGCAACAACCCATATCTAAATAATGAGAATTGGAGACATATCCGAAATTACACATTACCACCTTGGCTCTGATACTATTGTAAGCAGCCCCATTCGAATGACATACACAAATTGTCCGTTTCGGTCACAGCTCACCTCCGCTCGCATTGCCTTAATAAGCATCGTATTAATTCAGGTCGTGGGAAACTCATCTCCCTACGCAACAAAATGTATCTTCACAATGTATCTCTTTCGGCTATGAATCTATCTGATTTAGTGAAGACACATATGAAACCCAACATCGTCGTATTAATTGCTGATTAAGCATATCCGATGTAAAAGATACCTTTCTATTATCGTGTCGTCTTGATTAGATAAACGAGAATTCCACGCGTTCAATTGATACGAGGAGTAATGTAATCCAAACTCGTAATCTCGGCAATGTAGCTCTATTTTTGCAGCCATAACCTACAAAATCTCCAAAGAAAATTGCCCTAAAAAGAGTGAAGCAAAACTAAACGATATTTTTTTGGTTGTGCGATCGACTATGGATCGCCACAATTTGCAATGAGCATCTCGTGAAAGTATTATCCACTCCTCCCCAAAGCTGGTGCTTCCATTAGTAGGGGAAATGGGGCCATCATGAGGCCGCATAAAACAAGAGAGATTTAGTCTCAATCTTTCATCAAGAGCCACATGCATAGCTCTTCCATTGCGCCACCCGCACATGCATGGCACGTGCGCTGAATATATTCGGCACGACCCGTTTGCGCGACAGAACCCGAGATACGACATACCCGTAAAGCGTACGATTACCGTCACGACGCGAATAAGAACGAACAGAGAGAAGATGGTCTCAAATCCAGACTTAATTTGCGATAAGGGCTTTTATACACGACCGAATGAGGGACGAAATCATCGTTCGAATCCACGACGCTTCGAATCACGATTCCTTACATCCGCGCCACTTTCCAAACTCGAATTTAGATCCTCCTTAATTCAAAAGAAGATTTCGATCCATTTCCATAAATAGACCGAATCTCGGAATACTTTTGTTCTCACCGTATCTAACCTCTCCCATACAATTTCTTCTTCTTCTTCTTTTTCTGACATGCAAAATGTGGGGGGCTCCTTTCCTAACCCTAGTCCAATGGCGCAACGAAATAAGTCGATTCTCATTTTAATAAAGCGGCAATAGCATTGCACGGCTTCGATGCTTCATAAACTTAGACGTACATTTATAAATTGTACAGTAGTTCAATTAAACCAATCCTAACATCAGCATTATTAGGTAGATCGTTGCTATTGTTGTGATCATTATTACACATAAATGTACATTATGTTGCTGTTAATATTATTGATAAAATTGGAGATGCTGTCCACACGGTTTTAATTAGAGAGTTGCTAAGTCTTTTCTAAGTCCGCTTGATTCCACGATTCGCGCACCCACCTCCAGTTGGAGAAATACAAATTGGGCGTATCTCGTATTATGACCACTAGATTGCTTCTTATTATTGCCTCAACAAACTATTCCATCATTAGATGCAAGTTACAGAATAATCTCTAATTTCTTTTATAGCGCGAACAACAATATCAATGGAAAGCTCGGAGCGTTACTTTGTTTCTCTAAGATTGGGAAGTGAGTTTGCTTTAGAATGTACACAAAAGGAAAAAAGTGACGATTTTCCATTTTGCAATTCGCGTGGAATATCCATCGACAGATTACTCGATTTGAAATGTCGGTTGTTCGATGAACCGTAGCGATAACGACGCTTCGAAGCGAGCTCCGATACGATAAGACGGGGAAAAACGACGAAAGGTCGATGCTGATTCACGAAGTGATGTGTACGCGTTTATTCAATGGACACACACGGATCACTTTAGGTAGCTAACCCAATTACGGGTCGCCACGACATTCGATCCGGTAAAAAATCGACTTCATGTCATACTCCCCCGCTACTCCCGCTACTCCGAACAAAGTCCTGGAGAGATCTTGCGGGTGGACCGGTTTCCCTGATTAGGACGGCTCAATGAACCTTCGTCAGCGCCCGTCCCAGACACGGAGCACCGAAATTCCTAATCTCGGATCTGACAATTATAAATACATATTTCTATATAATACTTTTTTGTTCGAGAAAAAACGGAGAAGAAGAAGAAGAAGAAGAAGAAGAGGAGGAGAAAATTGGGATCTTCACCGATTTCATCTCTCCCCAGCCTGTTGGGACTCGCCAGATTTGAGTTGGTAAAAGGGGGGCCACAGCGGATGAACCCCACAGCTTGATCCCATAAAAAAACAGAAGAGCGAGCGAGCAAGCAGAACAGTCAATGGGATCCGACCCGGACCGACCACCGTCCACCGGGTGTGAGTCGGAACAAACCGACGGGACGGGACGGAGGGACGGAGGGGCGTGGCGAAATCTCGGAATTAACGGGGGGTTGGCTTAGCTAACATTCCCGCGTGTCGCTTTATGAAGCGCGACGGAGATGTCGTCACGCGTCACGATGATACCCAAGGATGCTGCTGCTGCTGCTGCTGCTGGTGCTAGCTACAGCCCTACGAAGGGGGATCCGTCCATCCGTCCGTCCACCCTAAGACGGGAATTCCGAAGATCCTTACGAGGGCAAGCTCGTCATTCGACCGCCGGATTAAGGCCCCCCCGCCCACCCTAAATTAAAAAAGAAAGCTGATCCCCCGTCCCTCCGTTATGCTCCGTTTCCCGATGCAGAGCAACGCCAAGCCGTCTCAAATTTAATACACACAATCTCTCTCCTCCTCCTTCTCGTCCATCGCCCTCTCTCTCTCTCTTTTTCTCCATTTTTTCTTTCTTCTTTTTCGAGAGCTGCACAAATCAGAACACACACAAACACACACACACACAATCTCTCTCTCTCTCTCTCTGTCTATCCTCTTCTGTCTTCGCTCTCCGCGGCTGCTCTGTTGCTCCCAGGATCCTCCTCTTCCCCCCGGCCGGTTTCTCTCCCCGAGCACCGAGACGACGACAGCGCAGCGGGAGTTGGGGGACCGCTCTCCGAATCCGGAACCGCCGCCGAATGTCGCTCCGGCGTTGTGCTCGCCGCCGATGCCGAATGCGGCGCTTCCCAATGGATTAGCCCCACTACGACGAGGAGAGAGCCCTGAGATTTCCAGAGGAGGGGGGGTGCTCGATTTGATGTAGAGCCCCGACGGTGCGGGGACAGCCGAGAGAAAAATGCATGAGGGGGTGTTGCTGGACGACGTGAGTTCGCTGACCAAGAAGAAGAAGTCGTCGGACGAGCAGGTGGAGGAGGAGGAGGAGGAGGAGGAGGACGGGATTAGGGTCACGCTCGTCTCCGACAGGGGCGGCGGCCGGAAGCCCCTCGAGCTCGTCGTCGCGCCCCCGATCGTCGTCAGCCGGAGCCGATCGCAGGCCGGGACGCGCCGGGTCGCCCCGGCGGTGGCCGCCGCCGCCGGGAGGGCCGTCGAGAAGGCGCTCCCCAACGGAGATCTGTACATCGGGAGCTTCTCGGGGAATGTGCCGCACGGATCTGGCAAGTACCTCTGGGCCGACGGCTGCATGTACGAGGGCGAGTGGAGGCGAGGCAAGGCCTCCGGGAAGGGCAAGTTCTCCTGGCCTTCCGGCGCCACCTTCGAGGGCGAGTTCAAGTCCGGCCGGATGGAGGGCCTCGGCACCTTCGTCGGCTCCGATGGCGACACCTACCGCGGCTCCTGGACCGCCGATCGGAAGCACGGCTACGGCCAGAAGCGGTACGCCAACGGCGACTTCTACGAGGGCTCGTGGAAGCGGAACCTGCAGGACGGGCAGGGCCGGTACGTTTGGAGGAACGGGAACGAGTACGAGGGCGAGTGGCGCAACGGCGTGATCTCCGGCCGCGGCGCGCTGACGTGGGCCAACGGCAACCGTTACGAAGGGCAGTGGGAGAACGGGGTCCCCAAAGGGAATGGCGTGTTCATCTGGCCTGACGGGAGTCGCTATTCCATCTCTTGGAACAAGGACCTGAAGATTCAGCAGCAATTGGACGGGGCGTACTATGCCGGCAACAACGGGAAGGAGCTCTGCTTGAAGAGCAACAACGCCGCCTTTGTCGCCGAGCATCTGATGCTCGCCACGATGAGGAAGCGGTCCTCCGTGGACGGCGCGAGGGGGAGCTTGACGGAGAGGAACTTCCCCAGGATATGTATTTGGGAGTCTGATGGCGAAGCCGGGGACATCACCTGCGACATCATCGACAATGTGGAGGCGTCCATATTCTACCGGAACGGGATGGGGTTGGGCCGCGACGGGTTTAGGGATTTTAGGAGGGGACCCTGTTGTTTCAGTGGGGATGCCAAGAAGCCAGGCCAGACGATCTCCAAAGGGCATAAGAACTACGACTTGATGCTCAACTTGCAATTGGGTATCAGGTAATTTGGCTGCCGGAATCGACATTGATCTCCGAAATTTGCTTGAGGACCTTCTAGATTATGGGGTTTGATTTTGTCGATTATTTCTTAGGTACTCTGTCGGGAAGCCGAGCGGCCTTCGGGATTTGAAGCCGAGCGACTTCGACCCTAAGGAGAAGTTCTGGACAAGGTTTCCGCCGGAAGGATCAAAGGTTACGCCGCCCCATCAATCGGTGGAATTCCGATGGAAGGATTATTGTCCAACGGTGTTCAGGTAATTGCGCGGAGCGTGATTTGGGGGGGGGGGGGGGGGGGGGGGGGGTTATTATGCTTTGCTTGGTGTGCAGTTTATTCAGTGTTTGATTTGTCCTTGATGAATACTTCATATCTTTCTTGAAGTCTAGTAGTTATGATGACAGCATTCGATCGATATGTTCTCCTGGTTGCAACTTGTGGGTCATCATTCGTTTTTCCAACACTTTTTTTCCTATCTCCTGTTTTCCATCTGCTAAATGGATGGCTCGATATTTCAGGCACTTGAGGGAGCTATTTCAAGTGGATCCTGCCGACTACATGTTAGCGATTTGCGGCAACGATGCATTGAGAGAGCTCTCTTCGCCGGGGAAGAGTGGCAGCTTCTTTTACCTTACTCAGGACGACAGATTTATGATAAAAACTGTGAAGAAGTCCGAAGTTAAGGTAAGCTTTCGCGCTACTTCTGTGATTGAGCAAATACGCCTGAGAGGTTGAGCAGCTACTGGATTGGAACTGAGTTGTGGAAATCTATGTTCAGGTGCTTATAAGGATGCTCCGTAGCTATTACCAACATGTCAGCCAGTATGAAAATTCCCTGGTGACAAAATTCTTTGGCGTGCACTGTGTCAAACCTATTGGAGGCCAGAAGGTATGCTTTGTTGAAGATATTTCAACCTATTATCAGGTCTTTGAAAAGTCCGGGCATTAAGTACTTACTTCCGATTCTATTGAAATCCAGACCCGGTTCATTGTCATGGCCAACTTGTTTTGCTCGGAATACCGAATACATCGGCGGTTTGATCTGAAAGGATCCTCCCATGGCCGCATGACGGATAAACCTGAGGAGGAGATTGATGAAACAACAACCCTGAAGGACCTCGATCTCAATTTCGTATTTCGCCTGCAACGGAGTTGGTTTCAAGAGCTTATGACGTGAGTCTCGGTCCAAACCCGCACTGGCCTTTTTATTAGTGGGCAAACCTTTTCCTTCTTCTGTATAGTACTTATATTCTCTGAAATCTTTGATCAGGCAAATCGAGCGAGACTGTGAGTTCTTAGAAGCAGAGGGAATAATGGATTATAGTCTGTTGGTTGGTCTTCACTTTCGAGATACGAGCACGTGCGACAAAATGGGGTTATCTCCATTCGTGTTGCGAACTGGTAATTTATTATGATTCTTTCTCACTAATTATCTCTAAGTTAGATCCATTATGTTTCTAATGAAGAACATTTCATAAGAATGTATTCATCTTTGCAGGCAGAAAAGATTCATATCAGAATGAAAAGTTCATGCGGGGCTGCCGTTTCCTTGAGGCGGAGCTACAAGACATGGACCGAGTTTTAGCTGGCAGGTATGATTTAAGACTCACTGTTCTTTTCTCTCATGTCCACCCTAATAATGCCTTCTATTTGAGTTGGAGTTATTGCCAGCGTACTCTCTTGTCTTTAACCGAGTTGTTGTCTGAGCTTTGATATTGTACTTCCTAGAATAATTGACAAGATTCATGATTGGTTTTTTGTCATCTAAATCCAATACATTGAGATTGGCCATGTTTTCTTGCCAACATTTTCTGATCGAAGAGTAATAAAATCTAGCACGATTGACTAGGTGCAATCAGTGGCCTTGGTAGCTTAAGCAAAATAGTTGTATGTGGATCACGTACGTCTTGTGTTCTGTCTTCATCTCTTAGGACGAGGCTTGTGGACTATTGTTGGCTCCAAGATTGGGTTTGGGAATTTTTAATGATGGAGCCTATGTTGTCCTATAGAATACTGATGGAGAGCTTCTGTGCCCTTTTTTTTGGTCGAAAGCGTCTATTTCCTGGTTCATTGATTTCTCTCTCGATTTTGTTCCAATGAATTCGCGAGTCCGGGATTCTTTTCATTCGAATCAAAAAAGATGTAGCGGGACATCAATTGTATATGTGATGTAGCAGGACATCAATATTGTATGTGTGATGGCTTTGGTTTTTCCCAGAACAAATCTATGAAACATTCATACTGATATAAAACCGAATTAATTTTTATCAGGAAACCCTTGATACGGTTAGGAGCAAATATGCCTGCAAGAGCAGAGCGGATGGCTCGGAGGAGTGATTTTGACCAGTACACTCAAGGGGGAGTGAGCCATTTGACCCCTTCACGAAACAGTGAGACATACGAGGTCGTTCTTTACTTCGGCATCATCGACATCCTACAGGATTATGACATCGCCAAGAAGTTAGAGCATGCATATAAATCGTTCCAAGCTGATCCCACCTCAATCTCGGCGGTGGATCCAAAACTCTATTCCAAGAGATTCCGCGATTTTATAGGAAGAATCTTCATAGAGGAAAGGTAGCTGCTGGAGGGAAAGAGAAGTGTTTGAAGATACAAACAGGCTTTGTGGATGAACCAACGATAGACCGCATAAACACTCGAGTGGCAGCGAAGATTCATGGTGGATCCCTCGGAGGGTCAGAGCGCGAGAGTCTGTAAATTGGAGGCATCGCTGCCAGTGCGGAGTTTATGCGGTGGGTAAGCACCTCATCGAGCTGGGATGGTCGGCTGAATTTTGATGATATCAGTCATTGTGAAGTGAAAGGGGGAAGGGCAAATACTTGTACATTGGTTGGGGGGGAGGGGGGATGGGGAGGGCTCTTCTTAGCATGGGAGGGGTAATTTCTTTTGTTTTTATTATTTATTTTCCCTTGCTATTTTGATTATTTTTTTAAAATGTGTTTCTTCTAGAAATTTTGTGGGCAAGGCAAGGCAACCTAGGATATGTGAAGATTTTGGAAAAAGGGGGGGGGGGGGTGGTATAGGGAAGTGAGGAAATGTTTTCCCCAGAGAGGAGTGAGAGAGATTCAAAAAGGAAGAAAATGGGAGGAGACTGTGGAATAAGGAATTGTACAGGTCATAGAGATTTATGATGAGAATTTTAAATGAATTATTATTATGATGTGAGATATTTCCCAGAATTACTTTTGAACCACATTCACACTCCAATCACCAAATGGTGGGGGTGGTCCACTGCATCTCTCTCTCTCTCTCTCTCTCTCTCTCTCTCTCTCTCTCTCTCTGTTGTTGATATGTATGTTTGTATATTTGTGAAGAAAGAAAGAAGTAGCATGGGAATGGGGTCATTGGCTTTTCCTTTTGCAGTGGAGAAGAGGTGAAAGGCCATTCACATGAAAAGCAGAGAAAGCTAAACAAAGATGCGCTTCTGCTTCCTCCTTCCTTCACTTTCTTTACCCTCTCTCTCTGACTCTCTCCTTCTTTTACTGTTTACATTGCATTATGTCTTCTTCACCTGCTTTTTACCCCCTTCATGTTCAAATACATCTTGAGTTGCCAATCAACTCGAGCGGAAGTCATCATCACAAGCATACCCCAGTTTTCAATTGCTGTTTCTTTTCTGGGTAATGAACAGATTGTTGTTAATCGAGTCCATGAAACGCCACCTTCTTTAAACATTGATTTGAGGGGGGAGGGGGTAGTGTTGTCATATGCAGGGGGGATGATAGCAGCAGAACGTGGTGCATAGGGTTTCGTGCGATGGGGCGCTTTCTTTCTTTATTTCTTTCTTTCTTTTCTTTTCTTTTGTGGGTTTGTTTTTGGGTGAATATATCACTGCAGAGGTCAAAGTCCGATGCAGAAGTAGTCCCCGCCCCAGCTCCACACGGTACACTTCTGCTCTCTCCTTTTTGACCCCATATTCTCTCCTTTTGGGTCCACCTATCGTGTGATCCCTCACACCATGCAATGCCATTTCAAAAAAATTAAAAATTAAAATCAATGTTCTTTTTAAATTTGAGTCAATTTTTTGGGCGAAAAAAATTTAAGTTGGAGAGGGACAAAAGATGCGTTCGGTAGGAAACTATAAAAAGAAGAAGAAGAAAATGCATGTAAAATGGAGTTTGCTTTGAAGAACAAATTACCTGAGTAATGATATCTCTATAATCTCTTCAATTCTAACCATGTCCTTTTACTCTTATTTGGATAATAATTTGGGAATAGCCACACAATCTATTGTCTTTTAGTCTTATTTCAAAGGAATTTACGTGCAACAAAAGGAGGAAAAAAACGAAGAAGGGTTCACACTCACTGATTTTAGCCCATATTATTGTCTCCTCTTGTAAAAGGGGCCGATCCTTTCCCTAATCTCCTCCTTAATTCTTTCCAAACATGAGCGTAGGAAACTAGCAAAACCAAAATAACCCAATCCTCGGTGTCATTGTGGAGTTAAAAACCCCATTCGAGGTGTTAGGTCGAAAAAGTCATCAAATTGGGGTCAAAAGTTAATAAAACTTCATACCTAATTACGTGGAAACCAGCGGCTCAACATGGTCACTTTTCCTTTACTGTTGGCAACTTCACGAGATCAAACACTTGATTAGCGATTTCTCCAATTTGAATAAGCCTCACAACCCTCCAAAAGAAGGTCTAATGCAATGGACCCAACAGCATCTTTGCCACAGCTAAATGGATGTGCCCCCTCCCTGCCGCCGAAGGACCACAAATTGACCACCTTAAAAACATAGAACTCTAATTCTAGGATCAATTCGCTGACGCAATCGATTTTGATATCATGTGCATATTTTTTTTTGGTAGCAACTCGTACTCTCTTCCTTCAAGTGTTTGTCGTGTTTTTCGGCCACACATGTTATTTTAGTGTAACGTATATTTTATAGTAATGCAGGCGCTTTTTGGGCGTATGTTATGGTGGGTGGAGTCCACGTGGTGATGGGAATAGGGCCGATGTTTGCGCGGCAGATTTGTCAGCCACATGAAAATAAGGGTCGATTATAAACTTAGGGATTTGGATAAGAGAAGGGTAAGGAATTTCTAGTATTTGACTGGGGGGAGTTCGCCTCGAAAGACCAAGTTGGGAAGATCTTTTAAGATCCCCTTGCTGCCCCATTGCTGAACTCTATACTGTTTTTGTGCGCCCTTATATGTTTTGTATATTTTAGAGAAATAAAGGAAACTGCGCAAATCGATGGGGAAATCTCTGTTTTTTTAAGGGGCAAAGATTATAATGTAACGAGATTTGTACTCGTCTCTCTAGAAAGTGGGAGGCGGTTCTTACCACCACTAAACTAATGTTGTATCTCGTGTTCTCCAGCCAAGGATAAACGATTGTTTAATAACCTGGACTCTCCGTCTCTCTGTCTCTCTCTCTCTGTCAATCTTGTTCCACAAGTTGGTCCTTTAAGATTGCTTTTGAGTGAGTCGTTTTTTATCCTGGGGTGAAAATTAGAACATTAAAAAAATTTGAAATTGTGGAATTTAAAAAGTAAAATATATATATTTGGGTTGCTCTGAATTTGGAAACCTTGGCGTACATAGATATAACTTAAGGATCCTAAAAAAATCGTTGGGCACATTTCGTCGATGAAAAATGAGAGGGACGACTTTCAGCGAGTCGTGACATTGAGTTGTTTTGAATTTGAACGAGTAGATCTCATGTTACGTGCAATGTATTCGATTGCTCTCCTGTATGTACAATCGATGTCTTGAGAATTGAATTTTTCCAGATAAAATATATTTAAAAAGTGTCGCGCGCACCCTCATTAATAATACCCTTTTTCCGTATATTTAACTCTTTTGACCACCTTGTATTTTTTGTTAAAAATGACATAGCTAAATAGACCGGCTCTTCTATTAAAACAATAGTTTCAACCAAAATTTCAAGGATAAAGTTAAGTGGCTAATTCTTTTTATTTTCTCTTGGGAATCGGTTTTCCCGGGCAGACAACATTTCATGTCCTCTCCTTCGTTGAATCGCCTTTATGAACTTCTAAGTATTCAAATTTGGAGCGTCTTTATCAGCACTTATAAGGCGAGTGACTGCGATGTTTTTTTCTCTAAAAAAACCTTTTTAAATCACGACCCTGTATTCGAAGACTAGAGAAATAAAGAGGTGAGGAGTATGGTGGAAACCAAGCATTGGAAAGTATGCAAAGCGAGGTGAAGATTACGGTTTGCAAAAATTTGATTAGAAAATCATTCTTGGAGGCCCCAATCCGGAATGATCATCACCAACTTTGGTGAAAGTGTGAGATTCCCGGATTTGTATATGGTGTGAAAATGACTCGAGACCTCTCGCCTTTTTGACAACTTTGTTTCGTGACATCAAATCGGACTCAAGGATAAAAAGGGTCATTTTCTTTTCCTATTTTGTTCTCTCTTTGCAAACCCAATAAAAATTAGGTTAATATAACGAAAAATTTCAAATTAGTACACACGTGATAACCAAAAACTCCAAACTGATATATTTGTGACAAATTCACTATCCATTAATTTTCCGTTAAATTGGATTAATACACAAAAAAAAAATATCACAAATTAGTACAACCGTGACAAACGGATGGTAAAATATAAAACCGATACGTCCGTCAACTGCCGTGTGTCATTTAATAAAATTTAACGGAAATAAAGTGAGGGTAAATTTGTCACAGGTGTATCAGTTTGGGGTTTTTTTAATAAAAAAATTAGTTTGGGGTAAATTTATCATAGGTGCATCAATTTGGGGGTTTTTCGTGGTATTAACCCTAAAAACTATGATTTTCTCCATAAGATTTCTCAAAAAATCCACAAATTAAAAAAGCAACTTACATGTTATCTCTCTCTCTCTCTCTCTCTCTCTCTCTCTCTCTCTCTCTCTCTCTCTCTCTCTCTCTCTCCAGGTGTAAAAGCTGACACATCGGGAGTCTGCTGATTTTGCTTAATGTCAATTTAATCAACCCGAGCTTTACATTGAGGCAAAGTCATTATAGTCCCAAGTGACTCTAATTAAGATGATGATCCCATATTAGAATATCATTCATTTGTCGACTATAGTGGGACCCCCTTGCCAACTTGGGAATGGACAGCAGTTGCTAGAAGGGGAGGAAAATAAGGCCAATTTCCTCTATGCAACCCCCCCCCCCCCCCCTTAACTTTGCACTTTTTGCATAAAATCACCTCGTCTACCTCTGAAATTTTTTTAATTTTCCTAAGTATTTTTTTTGACCGATCGAGTCAAAAAGCCACAACTTAAACATCGTTTTTTTTTTCCCACGGAATAGACCGTAACTAACTCTCTATGTTACGATATTCATCGGCGGTGCGCCGGTTTTCTAATAAAGCTGGCACTATAATTTGCCTCCATTTCCCGACGAAGCATGGCGAGGCCAATTAATGCAAACGTACACGCATCAACATCCAAAGCACGCGCAGACAATTGAAAACATGCTCCAACCCAAAACACCTCCTCCTCGAAAGCCTCTCGGTCGTCGCTGGAAACAGCAGCATTTCGGATGACGACGACGACGGCTTTCCGTTTCTGCTGGCTACCGTGATTTGATATGGAAGGGGGATTTAGGGGACCGAAGAAGGGAAACGGGGTGACAAGAATTGGAGATTATTGAATGCGGGGATGTACTGGGTGTCGTCGTCTACGTAGACAAAGATTAGCCGTCGCCATAAATGTCAAGGCCGCCTGCTCATTCCTCGCTAACCTTCTGGGGGAATTTGCGGCCCCTTCTCTCTCCGTATTCTGTCGCCTGCATTGCCCCATCGTTTTCAGTTCCAGAGCGCCAACACGTCCCCTTTCTTTATTGCATTCATACGAGGGAAAAAGTCGCAAAAGAAACCCCTCAAATTATGCCTACTTGGACAGCTTTTTTTTCTACATAAAAAATCTCAAAATATATTCACCGTGACGTTTTACCCTGAATTCTTTCTCGTGATATAAAAAAACCCGAAACTTGTATTTATGTGACGCATGTACTCTCCTTCCGTTAAGGTTCCGCTAGATGATTTTTCAGTCGAAACAACGTCGTTTTTATTTTGTTTACTTTCTAGTGTCAAGATTTTTAACTGTTATTAGCGACAGAACTTTGATAAAAGCTAAATGTATCATACAGGTACGGGTTTGTGATTTTTGATTTCAAAGAAAAAAAGTTTAGGATATATGCGTTACAGCGGGTATAGTTCTGGGTTTTT